AGGGCTCCATTCATCCCAGCCCCTGCTCCTGCCCCATTCTGTTATTTTAACTTTGAAATCCCAAGTCTCACAATGGTTTTGCAGCAGTTGACATTGCTGATGGAGGTGCAGACCCCTTTGGAAAATTTGAATGGAGGTTGCAGACCCTTTTGAATTGTAGGTGTGGGTATTCACATACTTCTGATTGAACATAGTCATCTTTTACAGACCCCTTAAACATAGTCTGTGGACTCCAGGTTGAAAATGCTGTTATATGGTACTTCTCATTTCAGCTATTTTGTTTTCTGGTTGTGTGTGAGGGTTTAAAGTAGCAATTTTGTTGATTCAGAGACTGGGATCAGTGATGTAGGAAGCTCCTTCTAGTCATATGTAAATCTACTAGGAAAAACACCTTCTTACTTAGATGTGGATGTATGTGCTAAACTTTCTGGTTTGCAAGGCCTTGTATACTGTCAGCTATAGGAAATAGTCTAATGGTAGTGGCCAGTCACGTTGTGTATAGGAAAGCTGCCCCTGTCTAAGAGCCAGATTCTAAGTGCACCTGCTTGGACTCCTCTAAACCAGGAAACCCAAGATGGGTGGGTACCCTGATTGCTGCTCTTTGTAACTTACTCTTAAGATTAAGATGGAGGTGTGTTACAAAATTGGGCATGTTTAGGGTTACCATACATCCAAGTTTTCCTGGACATGTCCCCTTTTTTGACCCCATCCTTGTGTCCAGGCGGGTTTTTAAAATAGGAGCAAATGTCCGGGTTTTTGGTTTGTCTCTGCTTTTCCCGGGCACAAGCAGCTTGGATGCTTGGGGCTGGGAGCAGCAGGCAAGGTGATTGGCTGTCAGGGGTCACGTGTTCTGCATGTGGGCCCTGGCGAGTAAGATAGAGAGAGAAAGAACAAATGTATGTGTGTGCATGCACAGGAACTGCGTGGGCAGCCAGGCTGTGGAGACAGGGGACTCTGAGTCAGGAGTGAGGGGCACTGGCAGGGCTGGGGGGGCAGGGGCTTAGGAGTGAGAGGCAGAGGCAGGGTACAGGCATATCACTGCCCTGCCTCCCACAATAATATACCCACCCCCTGCCAGCTCCTCCCCCTCCCCCTGACAGGTGTCCTCTTTTTTGATCCTGGAAATATAGTAATCCTAATGTTCATGTTTTCTTGGGGACTGAAGCACAGTGGAATGAGCCTTTCAGTGCCTACATATACTTAGGTGCCTAATAGGTAGAATGGGATCAGGCCTTCATTTTCTTCCTTTAATTTAATAATCATGCCCAGGCAGACTTTTTTTTTTTTTTTAATGGATTCCCTTTTGCCCTGCCAAACAAATGGTAAGTAATCTCTTGCTGCTCTCTAGTGGCAATGGACTTTCCCTCAAGGGGCTGTCAGTTGCACTGTACTGAACTACTGTTGGCAGACAGATGTGATGGGTTATTTCATAGGAGACTGCAACTAGGAGAGATTTGGAGTCCAAGGGGAAGAGCTGGGGTTCCCAGGAAGCAGAATAAACTGTGAAACTATCAGTTCCCTCAGTGGATCTGACTTTCTTGGCTAAAAACAGAAGTCAGATTTCTTTTGAGACAGCCTTTTTTTCCTGGGATCTTACAGGCATACAGATCCATTGTCTCACTTTAAGTACCAGTGAAGTATCCAAGATCCCTCTGCCCCGCCCCTAACCAGCATATTTGAGTTAATTCCCATTCAGGCTGCAGGTGTAAACCATAAAAACAGGGTTGATCAAAGTCTGATTGTCCCAGGCCTTGACTCTCATTAAGGGGAGGTGGGGGCACAGCTTGCATGGCAGTTGACTTGAATTAGCCAAATTGTCCTGGGGGAAAAGTACTATTTGTACTTCCCAGGTACTCAAAGTGGGACTGTGGGATTGTATAGCTGTAGGAACTAAAAAGTTTTGTCCCAGGAGAAATCCAACGTCTGTTTTTAGCCTATATGATAGTCTCTTGCCTGCTTTGATACAAGTCAAACCTGGGACAGTAAGACCTGGGATACACCTAACATCTGCTTTTACCCTTTGTTGTCATACTGAAACCTTTGCAGAAACCTAGGCTCTTAGATTTAAAATAGACAACCAGCTTGATTCAGGGATGTATTTGGTAGTGGTGTTGGTATGAGACACAAAGAAATGCAAAACTCTAGAACTCTTGGTTCAAAGATAATACCTTTTATTAGACCAACTAAGAAATTGCAAAAATTATCTTTTTCTGCAAGCTTTCAGGCACACAGGACTTAGGGAAAATTAAAGATGGTAAAAGGTTCCCATACATAGAAAATAAAACTTCATTTTTGCACAGAGAGAGCTGAAGGTGGAAGTCTATTCCTCTGGGTCCATGAGAGTGTCTTTGTGAGTTGCTCTTTGTTGTACAGATAAGGCAGGATTCCTTCTCTGGTGGTGTCAAATGGCTGGAAGGCAGGGAGTTGTAGAAATCTTTCTTGTTGTTCAGCATTGAGATTTAATCCAAAATCGGCTAAAATTTGGCAGCTTCCATGTTTCAGGGATGTATTTGGTAGCTGTGTTGGTCTGAGACAAATAAATGCAAAACTCTATAACTCAGGGAAAATTAAAGATAGTAAAAAGTCCCCATAGGTAGAAAATAAACTTCATGGAAGATGCCAAATTTTAGCCAATTTTGGATTGAAACTTTTTACCATCTTTAATTTTCCCTGAGCCTGAGGAAGGGCATGTGTGCTCGAAAGCTTGCAGAAAAAGACTTTTTGTGGGGGATTTGTTAGTTGGTCTAATAAAAGGTATCATCTCTGAACCAAGAGTTCTAGAGTTTTGCGTTTCTAACCAGCCTGATTCACATTTGATTCCTCGCAGACTTTACAGACTGACAAGCCCATTGTCCCACAGTAAGTATCTGTGAATTATTCGAACGAATGCTTTGCTTCAGAACAATCACTGCTAATTTGACTTAATTGCCATTTAAGCCCAGTTTGTAAAGGGTTGTGCCAAGTCATATATCCCAGCCTAAACAAGGCTGCATTAAACCTGTCATCTGTTTTTAGCTTTAGCTGGAGAAAAGGCCTTGCCCACATGAGACTCTATGCTTGGTGAAACCCAGGAGAGCCCACAAGAAAGGTTGAAGTATCACAATAAAAAGGGTGTTCCTGCCTACCTTCCTTTGGAGGGAGAGAAAGGGACCCTGAAGGGAACTAACTAACACAGCCCCAAAAGCAAACAGCACTGTCAGACAAAGGATGGTGCCCATACACATAGGAATTTACTGTGTCAGTACCACCTGCCAGCAGCCCCTGGCCATGGATTTGCTAGTGAGCTCCAGCTAAGAGTTTGAGCTGTTCCTCAAATTTTGAAAATGGAAAAAGTACAGAATGGGAATAACACCCTGCTTTTGAGTACTGAACTGTTAGGATTGGCAATATTGTTTCTGTAAAGGACAGATGGAGAAATTAGGCCATTTGTATATGTGTCAGGATTTTAAGTGTTGTATAAAAATAAATCTCTAATGTCCTTTTTAAGTCAATGAGGTATGCTAAGAGGAGATTTCTCTCAGTGTTTGCCCAGGCACTGCTACTCAGGCTATGAATTTGCCTTTGTGGGTGGAGGGGGGTTTGTTCTTGCTTTTAAATTTCAATTTTAAATTCCAGATTTTTGGGTTGATTCTGTAGGACAAAACAAGTGACATTCATCTCTTCCTTCCTCCACCCCAACTCCCCTCCCCAAACTAATGTAGTCTCCTGAATGCAATAAGCAACTGATTCACAGAGTAAAACTGTAGATCCCATTCGCTGTTAAAAGATTATCAAAATTTTAGATTATTGCCCACATTGACTGAGCGTTTTATGGTGTTCTGATCATAGAATGCAGACCTGGTGGGCTTGAAGCATATCAGAAGTTTGCTGTATGATTGCATCATATGAATATACAAAAAAAATCTGTAAAATAGTTTGAAAAAGAGCCCATTGCGTAGACATGTTATGAGTAAAAATGGTGGTAGAACTTGCCCAAGCACTTTGCAGATCTCAGTAACAGAGAGCATTTAATGTCAATGGTAATGGTACATAATCATTTAATCCTGTGTTCTTTAATGATGGGCTGTGGATGAGCTCCTCACTTTGTAATAACAGGAGCCATACTGGTGCCTCCTAGTATTCTCTGCTTCCCCTCCTCCTTGCAGCTATTCTCCAGCCTGATGGATGCTTTAGCTCAGGGGTGGGCAATTATTTTGGCTGGAGGGCCACTTAAGGAGTTTTGGGTGAGCTGTTGCAAGCCGAGGGAGAGGGGAGTAGGGGGGAGGGGAGGGGCAGTTGATCCTATCTGGCCTGGTCCCATCTGCCCCACACCCCCCTCTAGGGACTCCAGACAGAGGAAGCAGGTGGGGTCTCCATGGAGACCGTCCTGGGAGCCCCACAGGCAGGGTGCACTCAGCTGGGCAGATGAGATGATAGTATTGCAAACCCTACTGTGAGACACACTTAAAAAGCAAGAGATTTGGAATGTAAATCATGAGATGTTATTTTTGAAGTGTGTGGGGGGATTGTTTGTGAAGGTGTGGGGGGCTGTGGGTGTGTGTGGGGTTTGGAGCCTGGGGAGGGGCAGGGGCCACACATCCTGGCAAGGATGTAGGGTACTGCAGGGTACTGTGGGTCAGGAGTGAGGGGCAGCAGCAGCGCTAGAGAGGCTGTGGCTTGGGAGTGAGGGACAGACACACAGACACGCATGCACCCAGCTGCCCATAGCTCTGTTGCATGACCCGCCTGGCCCTAGGACCCCATTCCCCCCAGCCCCTGCCCCATTCCCTCCCTCACCATTGGGGCCTCAATCTGCCCCCACTCCCCAACTGCTTCCCTCTCCCCCTGCCTGTCCACAGACTTACCAGCTTGGTGGGAAGGGCCAGGATTGCAGGGTGGTGATAGTGCGGGGCCAGGGCCTGGGGCAGAGCTGCAATCCACTCCTCACACATCCCTGCGACAAGCATGAGCAGAAATATGTGGGGAGTGGACTGTGGTTCTGTCCCAGGCACCAGCTGCATTGCTATGGTGAGGCACCCCGTGCCTGGCCAGCAGCTGCAGGGGGGCACAACTCTATGCCGCCGCTGCCCCCACTGCTGCTGGGTGGGCAGAGGGTGCCTTGCTATGGTGATGCAGCTGGCTTGGGGGTCCTGGCAGCAGTGGTGACAGCACCAAACCCCACTGCTCCACTCCACCCTCCTGTGTGGAGGCCCCAGGGGGAGGGCAGCAGGGTGGGGAGCCCCAAGCCTGCAGTGAGCGGTCCACATCCTCCCCTTCCCCACACACAAATCTGCCCCCCATGCATGTGCCCCCCATGTTTCCCTCTCTGGGAGTGCACCACCCGTGGCTTCATCCCACTCCCCAGCTGGACCCCACAGCCATGCATTCCCATTCTGGCCCTGGGCCCTGTCCTGGCTAGGCAGCTCCTGCAGCCTCAGCTGCCAACCCTGCCTCATTCCCTCCCTCACCGTGTGGGCTTCAATCTGCCTCCCTCCCCATAGACTTACCTGCAGGGAGCTGCTTTCCACTGCTGTCTGGTTGTATTCCTGGCCGCATGATGAATGCGTACACATACATGCACATGGCGCCCTTGCCTCCCACTCCCCCAGCCCCAAGCAGCTCCTTGCAGGAACTCTACCAGCCTGCAAGGGGTAACCCACAGTTTCCTGCATTTTTCCGCAGTGAACAGAAAACCTGGATGCCTGCACATGATACTGGGACGATAGTTGACTGTGTCCAGGGGAATCCAGGACAAATGCTGTCCTGGAGTCATTCAGCCCAGGACCAGGACTTGATGTTTACGTTTCAGGACTGTCCTACCCAATTAGAGATGTGTGGTCACCCTAGTGCCAGATTTGGGGGCAGAGACACAGTCAGCAGCAGCTAAAAGAAACCACCACCATGGGGGGCTACCAGAAATTCTGATCCAACATATAGTGGTGACTCATCTGAGATCTCATATAGTGGTAACTGATCTGAGATCTCAGTAACACAGCTTGGAAATAGCTGTTGTCCTAAGAGAGATCAGTTACACAAAATGGGAACACTCCCACAAGGATCTTCAAAGAAGTCCTTTCTTGCAAGTATTTTTCACTGCTCCTGTTCAAACCTTTCCAGAAGAGGCCAAGGGACTTGTGTTCACAAAGAATTGAAAGGGAATCAATTTTGATCATTTACACATCTCTCTCCTTCATTCCCTGTTGATATCTAAACTCATTCAGTTTAATATTTTTTCTAGCTTTAAATGAAGTTCTTCACATTCCCCCACCGCTTCCTGCTGAAAAGCCTATTGGGAATACTTCTGAGATTGCAGCCGGGAAACCCGGTAATGTTGAGCAAACAAAAAAAGTGGTAAGTTGCCATTATTTTCCTGTATTACATCTTTTGGTTGACAAACTAGATTGGCTGTTATGAACACCTGTCCACTGTGAAATGAGTTATTTGAGGGGATTGAAGTTTATTTTAAATTACCTTTTTCTTCAGCTTTATTATTTCTAATGTTTGAGGCGCCTCCATGCTGGAAGACAGTTTGATTTTTAATTTTTAATCATAATTACCTTTTGATTTACTAGATGCAAAATCCCCACCTGGGGTGCTTGGCAATGCAGCCTTTTTATGTACTCTTTTGTTGTCCCCATGCCTCTAGTTGCAGTATGCAGATATTTTCCTATCTTTGTTTTTAGGGCCAAACAAATCTCTTCTCAAATGAGATCTTCCACATCTTACTTCTGACCAATGAAGTGCTGGTAGCATTAGTTAGTATTGGAGGTCTGAGAAAATGGTAATTCTTCTCCTTTGGCTTTCTGATTTACTGTAGTAGTACTTTGAAAATGCTAAGAAAATGGCAATAAAACTTCCAAATCTGTATGGCAAGAATGGTGGAGACAGCAGCTAAAATAATGAACAGAAAAGAAATTAAATCATAAGGCCCATACAGGTACTTCACTTGTACAAGCAGTGGTAGAGAAAGCATTGGCAGTTATGGAATTCCTATATCCTAAAAATGTATGCAAAGCCTTGTAGTCGGTGGCAGCAAAACTACAAACCCACAAGCTGTAGAGGTATTCCTTCAGCAGCAAATAATCAAAGTATGTTGGTTAGAAATGAAAAATGAAGTGAGAATCAGGGTTAATGCTATTTCCGCAGCATGCAATACATAGTGCTTGATTAAGGATAAGTCTCTCTCATCAGTCAAGTATAATACAAACTAGAAAGAAACCTGGAGCCAGATTCATAGCAGAATTTTAGCCAGTGAATCCTTACAGCTTTATGTCTGGCCTGAATTTGGCCCTTATGCCTTCACTTTAAAATAAGTAATGGGAAAAGAGGTTTGGCCTATAGCTGAGTGCACAGAATGTGCTGAGCTATGATCATATGGTTAGTCAAACTGTTGTCTTCCATTACATTCAACAAGATTTTTAAAATCATAGAATCATAGAAAATTAGGGTTGGAAGGGACCTCATGAGGTCATCTGGTCCAACCCCTTGCTCAAAGCAGGACCATCCCCAACTAGATCATCCTAACCAACACTTTGTCTAGACAGGCCTTAAAAACCTCCAAGGATGGAGATTCCACAACCTGAGTAACTTGTTCCAGTGCTTTACTACCGTAAGAAAATTTTCCTAATATCTAACCTAAACTTCCCTTGAAGTTTAGGTTACCACAACAAAAAAAATC